CGTACGAACTCGAGTGCTTAGCAGTCCTCTTTGGCTTGGAGAAATTTAGGCCGTACCTTGAACACCTCGAGTTCGATCTGCAGACCGACAATCAGGCTCTCACGTGGTGTCTCTCCCATCCCCGCCAACTCGGGAGAATTGGTCGTTGGGTTGTGAGATTGTCCTCATTCAAATTTAATGTGCAGCACATTAGGGGAACCCAAAATGTCATCGCAGATGCTCTCTCGCGCATGTATGACCCCAGCGCCGAAAATCCTGTATGTTCGCTACTTTTGGATTTCCCTGTCCTATTCGAGGATATTGCCACGCACCAGAGGAAGGACCCAGAAATTTGTCCCATTATGGACCAGTTGTCACTGGGGCAAGAAGTGCCCGGATACTCTCTACTTAGGAGCGTACTTTATTGCAAGGCTCGTTTTGACGGTCGGCCTAAGATCGTCATCCCTCAGGCCTTAATTCCGGCCCTGTTTAGTTATTTTCATGACTCGCCCTGTGGGGGCCACCTAGGGGTGCGAAAAACGCTATGGAAAATTCGCCAATCTTTCATATGGAAGGGCATGGATGCGGATATCTCCGCTAGAGTACGGGCTTGCAAGCTCTGCGGGCTCAGTAAGCCCGCCCAGAACGCCCGTTATGGTATGCTGGCCTCTGACGTGGCTACTCGCCCACTGGAGAAGTTGTTTGTAGATTTCGTGGGGAAGTTCCCCCGGTCAAAGGCAGGTAACACCTACGCACTAGTCTGTGTGGACGCTTTTACCAAGTTTGTTTGGATTTTCCCGGTCCGGGAAGCGTCCACCGCCACGACTATTCGGGTGTTACTGAACATCTTTTCCACATTTGGGATTCCCGAGGTCCTCGTATCCGATAATGCGACGCAGTTCACATCTCGCAACTTTCGCAATTTCTGTTTTGCCCGAGGCATCAGGCATGTCACCACCACACCGTACTATCCTCAGCCCTCCCATGCCGAGAGGTTCAACCGGAATTTACGCGCTGCGTTAATTGCTTACCACCATCAAGACCATTCCCGTTGGGACGAGAACCTCTCGTGGCTCCAGTTTGCATTTAATTCGGCTCGCCACGAGTCCCATAAGACCACTCCATTCAGCTTGATGTTTTCCTTTACGCCAAACTCACCCCTTTCCAACCTCTGGTCCATCAAGGAGTTACTTCCTGAAACCCCTGATTTCCGCTCCATCCAGGAACGCTGGGAGGCAGCGCGAAGAAATCTCCGACTCGCGCACGCTGCCGTGCGCAGGACCTACGACCGAGGCCGCCAACCTCCTCCTTTTCACGTTGGAAGCAGGGTTTGGCTCAAGAATTACCCCCTCAGTAAGGCGTCCCAACACGTGGCGGCCAAACTTTGTCCCAGATATAGGGGAAACTTTACCGTTGTCAAGTTTACCTCTCCGGTTTTCGTTCAGCTCACCGACTCTGACGGCGGCAGCAGGATCCGCGCTCACGTCTCACAGTTGAAAGCTGCGTGAGTGGCCGACTAATAGGTTTGTAAATTCAAATGTGATATGATTTTGGTAATTTATGCTAGCGTGGTGCTTTACTGTATACTTATGCACCACGCTAGCATAAAGGCACTTTGTATAAGCGCCTTGGGATTCCTAGGTTCCCTTATATAAGTGGAACATTAAACAGATCAATATATTTTCTTGTATGTGGGCCTTGGAGCCATTCTATGTAAAGGGCCCCTTGCGCTTAGTGCCTGGAGGTACTTTCTTTTTCTAGTCCGAGGTTTCGGATGTATGTATATATATATATATATATATGGGCCCTTAGAGTACTCTGCTATATTATGATATTGTTGCATTGCCGCCGGCATACTTAGGTGTAGTCATGACTATGTGTGTGTACTTTGGTATGAGTGTGTGTGTGTGGGGATCCCCATCAACTGAGGTTATAACAATACGTTATGTGTGTTACTGTACAGCTCGGTAGTGTAACCAGAGCCTATGAATTGCAATTGTCGCATCGGTGCTGTCATCTTGATTGTGTTTGTGTTTTTCACGTGCCCCAACTCATATTGCAGTTTGACCCTTAGTTCGGACGGGCTGCGCTGTCCCTTCCCGTGCTACCATCTTTCCAGTGCCTTACGCCGAAGGGTGGAAACCATCCACCGTCCCTACGACCAAGTGCGAAGCACGGTCAAGTACCTGATAAAACCAGCACCCCCCCCCCCCGGGTGTTTACTGGAGGCTTACTGCATCATCAGGCATATTATGGACATGACAACGGGACACTTATTAAGTAGCAACCAGTTTGTGGGGTGAGATGCCTGGGCTCTTATCCCTGTCTGCGCATGTGCCCCACTGATGGTTCGGGTGAGCTGCGCGTCCAGCACCACATAGTGAAGTGTAGATGGGTGCTCTCACAGTCAGCGCAAGCACTTAACATCGAGACTGGCAGCGGGTAAGCTGCAACTCTGATACGATGGCCTGGCACTCCGTTTCGTCAACACACAGGAGCCCCAGTAAATGGAATCACCCACGCCGTCTCCTTCGGGGGGGGGGAGGACTGTAACGGCAGCAACCACCGCCATGTCCCTCAACCAGACCCCCTTCTTTCCTTTTCCCCCTCTCCACATGCCCTACGCTTGCACCCTTCATCCTTTCACCAGGGACTGAGAGGCTCGTCTGAACACTGGAGGGCCATTCTGCTGCACGCCGTGGAAGAGTCTGGTCTCGACCCCAAATTATTTCTTGGAATTTTGGTTTACTAAATTAACGGCGGAGTTGGTGGACGCTTGTACGTTGTGCCGTCCTCATCTGGGGCAGTTTGTATTTTTTTTTAATCAATTATATTATTATATTTATTTGGTGTCTGTATTGTTAATATAGTTTCCTATCCCAAACCACTTTTCGGTCCTTGGGCTTTGGTACGTTTCACTCTCAACTGTGAATTTTCTCATCTTATTTTAGACTGTCTAATTGGGAGACGCGCACACAAAGTTCATGTGGAGACGTCAAATCTCAAGAAATTAAAGTAGGTAGAGGGTAAAAAGCAGGGTTTTGATGAATTCACTGGCTGGATGAAAGTCACTGTCCTGCTGCATATATACATAAGATACTGTACTACCCCAATGTATATAACAGGAGAAGCCAGACTTATTGACCACCAGAGATATGTTTGGTAATATTCACAATTTCAGGAGCCAGGAACAGATGTGATTTGGATAACACAGATATTTAGATACAAGTTTTCCATGCAGCAAATTTCTCTTCAATATTTAGAGCACCTGACAAAAGCAGTAGGAAATTTCTTATTTCACAAATGTAAAATATCTGCATAAAGGTGATCCTAAGGCTTCTCATAGTTTTCCTCAGTCCCAACAGCAAAATGCTGAGATAAATTAAGTCACAACTTCCTCCCAACTCATCATTCCCTAATGATCCTACAATTTCAAGCTCTGTAGCCTGAATACCGAGACATCTGAGAAACATATCACAAAATAAGAAGTTTACTGTCTTCACATCGCAGGGTCAAGATTGATTAAACCAAAGTGCATTGATCAGATTGCTTTAGAACAATGAGGTCAACAACAAATGCCAGTTCCAGGCTACCAATCTGAAAGTTCTAGTACAAAATATTAACCAACTCCATACAACTTTGCCTTTCCAAAGAAGCTACTAGTTTCTCAGCAACTCAATGAATTACCAACACATTATGGAATGTAAGGGTTCATTACCATTCACTGTCATGTTCACAGCCAGACACTGGCTCCTATCCTGATCCAGGCAAATTCATTTCATATTCCCTTCTCTAAGCATACAAAAACACAGCATCTGCATACCTTCACACTCTTCTGAGGACAATTGCAAACTTGTAAATCCATTCATGCACTGCTCACTACTATATATAGTGGAGTCGTACAAAACAGAACATACTCCAAGACCACGGAGCAGAGTGCCCTCTGGTAATGCAGTGACAGCCAACATGTAGTGACACACGAGAAATGACTCTGCTGATGCAAAGTCATTAAGGGATGAATGTATGGTACATCGTATGCAAAATTAAGGAAGCGTTCCTTGGCAAGAAAAGTGTCAGTAATTACAGATCACTTGCTCAGACTGACAAAGAATTAGCTTCAGATATGGTGGAGTTCATTCAGGCAGTCAAGAAAATGGGTATGGGAAGGTGCATAACTGCACTGAATTTAAGTACAATTAAAAGCTCTTAGACTATATTAAACATCTGAATTCCAATTAATAATACTGATATTGTGTAATTTTATTAAACAATTATATAATTACACTTAAATTTAACTTATTTCACAACTATCAGTTGACTGTTCCCCCTGAGGCAATAGAGACCTAAAGAAAAAATGAGTTCTAAAAATCCAAACCACTTTCCTTCATCTCATGATAGACTGCTCAGTTTCTTCGCTATCTGATATACAAAATGAACAGATGTAACCAAGTCTTTCATAATTTTTTTGAATAAAATTCACTGTACTGTTTTATTTCTCCTCAAGCAGAACCAACACATCTTTATTTAACTTTCTTTTTATAATCAATATAACAGGTATCCCAAAATATAATATTCTGTCTACAATGACCAATAGAGCATAGTTTCTGTTCATCAGACCAGTCCATAACAGTTATCTCAATATACTTAATCCAAATGAAATACCACTTTGTAACTAACTCATCAAAGAAGTTACTAACAGCAGATGGTGTAAGAGCACAGATACCACACAACAAAAAACAAATGAAAACTGCACAATTACATTTATGAGCGTTCAATCAGTTTCAGTAATGACACTCTATTAATCACTAGCTTCCACTGCTGAATTAACATCATAACTGTAGGAGAATGTCATGTCATGTCATGTCTCTTTCCACTCAATAAGACAGGGTCTTGTGCACATTCAGGAATCAGAATTAAAGAGACACTTATATGAACTGACATTTTATACTGTGGGACTCAGTTCATTTCCGGTCAGTTGGAAATGTTAGCAACAGAAAACAACTCCAATATCTTGTAGCATTCTACAAACCTGCAGCATACAACACACAGCAGAACTATCTTAATTATAACATGAAATACTGTGGAATGCTACAAATTACATATTGTTCCTTTAGTCTAAACCCATCTCTACTGCTCTATGATTTACTGCACATGTCAACATGTATGCGCTGATGGGTCTTCAGATGACTCTGATCACTGAATGCCTTATTACATACCTCACATACAAAGGGTCGCTCCCCAGTATGTATGCGCTGATGTCTCTTCAGTGAACCCTGATCACTGAATGACTTATTACATACATCACATACAAATGGCCGCTCCCCAGTGTGTATGCGCTGATGTGTCTTCAGTGTACTCTGCTGATGAAATGACTTATTACATATATCACATCTAAATGGCCGTTGTCCAGTATGTATTCGCTGATGTCTCTTCAGTGAACCATGACCACTGAATGATTTATTACATACATCACATACAAATGGCCGCTCCCCAGTATGTATGCGCTGATGTGTCTTCAGTGCACCCTGAATCTGGAATGCCTTATTACATACATCACATACAAATGGCCGCTCCCCAGTATGTACGCGATGATGTGTCTTCAGTGTACTCTGATCACTGAATGACTTATTACATACATTACATACAAATGGCCGCTCCCCAGTATGTATGCGCTGATGTGTCTTCAGTGTACCCTGAATCCTGAATGACTTACTACATACATCACATACAAATGGCCGCTCCCCTGTATGTATACGATGATGTGTCTTCAGTGTACTCTGACCACTGAAAGACTCACTACATACATCACATACAAAGGGCCGCTTCCCGGTATGTATGCGTTGATGTCTCTTCAGTGAATTCTGATCACTGAATGACTTATTACATACATCACATACAAATGGCCGGTCTCCACTATGTATGAGCTGATGTGCTCTCAGGATTAGTTGCTGACTGAATGAATCACCACACTCATCGCAGGAATACTGTCGCTCCTCACCATGCACAGGCTGAAGTTCATTCAAAGTACTCTGGAAAATGAGAAGAAATAACATGAAAAATTCTAGTAGGAAGAGAAATGAGTGTGAAGAATCAGTACAGTGAGATGTTACATCAGGAGGCATCAGAGGGGTGACTGGAGATGGAGGGAGAGTGCACACACTCCCTTGTGTGGTTCGTGCATGAGTCCATCAGCATGTATGTTGGTTTCTGAGTCAATAAAAGTTAAGGTGCACTGCCAAAGACTAACAGATAAACAAAAACAAACTCTGTGGCCTGTAGTGCGCAAGCAAACTATACCAACCGAGCAAGAGACCAAGCTTTTCTTCGAAGTTAGTGTCAAATTTAGTGGATAGAGGGTGTTGAGTGGTCAGTGCAGTGAATCCCAACGGCTGTTAGTTCCAGTTTTCTAGACTGGAACTGTCTAACAAATTCCAAATTAAATTAAATTATACATTTGCAAGGTTGGACAGGCATCCATTTAACAGTGGACAGGCTCCTGAAATGAAATAACAACATTGACTTAAAAAAAGCACTAAGACAGGCTGCTTTTGCCATCCATCATGGATAAAATGAAACACTAACTCAAAAAGGCATTTCTGTAAAAACAATGTGTGTTCACAGCACAGTAGCACATGGCAGACTGAGGCAACAGGCTTCCAGAAGTATGACTTGGGCCTCCCATGTCATCTTTCACCAGGCACTTACAACAATAAGAGTCCGGGAACTTTCCAAAAGTCTCAAACAGAGAGATAGGACAGCATCAGTTCAACAAATATTATCACCCTGATACCATGTACAGATCTTTGAGAGTCATCTCCTATGATGCCATGTAACATTTCTTGACAATGATAACGTTTGGCTTTTGTCAGAAAATGACCCTGGATGTGTGACATCATCATGGGCACATCACACTGTGCAGAAGCAGGTGTGGGAATGCCATACAACAGGTGCATATATATCAGGCAACTGTGCCTCATTTGAAGGCATGTAAGCATCATTTCCTGCTTCCTCAAGGAGCCGAATGACTGCCACTCCAAGAATACCACAGCTTAAATGACTGCAATTTTTTATGCTGTGTGTTGGTCCACATGTCTTGCAATGACAAGAGGAAAGGGTGAAGAAGTAAGCAAGAAGCATTACCACCCAGAGGATGTTCTGCTGACAAACGACAAAGGAACACAGCTCTGTTGGCGGGGCTGCATGCAACTGTGGTGCAGTGGGTCATGGGTAGCTGTGGTTACTTGGAACTGTAACAGTGCCACTTTAAACAAATCCTCTTAATGGGGGAAATCTCACCACAAAAAATAATGTAAACAATAGTTAATAAGGACTACATCCATTCCAAACTAATAACTATACTGTACTGAAATAACAATATTTTACATGTATAAATTTAATACGCCAGTACCTTGAGTTCGCAACCTTCCAAAGCATACAGAACAGTAACTTTACATTCTGTTTGCACATTTGTGGGGGACCTGGAAGGTCTAGCCTGAATGGTTTGCATTTCATAAACATGCTTGGTTCCAGCTCACATTTTTGCTTGTAAAATTTCTTCATAGCATCATAACACAATACACAGTTCACAATCAACCTTGGCAGAATAATCACAGAAAGGATCATGATTCCAAAATAATAACAATACTTAAGAACCTGCATAGTTGCGAATCTAGCGAATTCTTTGCCTATGTATAATTGCTAACACTGTGTGTAATTTTCTAGATATTCTGGATTCTGTTATTGTAAGTAAAGAGTAAAGTTATCCCTGTAACAGGCCGTAAAGGCTCATAGAGTTGTGGGACAGAGGGTCGCACATTTTCTAGACAATCGGCTCGAAGATGGCAGTAAGGCTTTCAGGCTTACGCGCCTGCTGCGCTTTACTCTCCAGGAAAATTATTTAATTAATTCCTGGTACTCATTTCTGTTAGAGGCTGAGTCGACCCCAGCACCATAGTGTGGCTGGAAGGATTAGGTCAATTAAAAAAATCCGATGACCTCATTGGGACTTGAACCCATGACCTTCCATCTTGTAGCATAGCTCCTCTACCAACTACGCTACCACGTACCCCTTCTGTTATTGTTCCTGTTTCTATGTAGACTTTGTGCAAAACATGATCAAAATATTAATGTCTCACAGTCTGCAAACATAACATGGTGTAATTAGTTATTTCTCTTTTGCATGTGTTAGGAGGAATTTCACCAAATTTACTGTAGCTTTCTCATACCCGTCTATCAATTGATAATGTGTGCTGTTTGTTGTGATGTGGATGTGGTTGGTGTCTGCGGTGCAACTGGCAGGAAAATGTATGGTGTTTAATATACAGTCGGGTGTACACGTATATGTTACCTTGTGCGAATACTATATTGAATAATGTTTTTGGCCTTCATTGTATTTATCTATGAGTAGATTTATCTCTTTCTATTTGTACAGGGAGGTTCTTACCAAGTCTGACCGGTTCACAGTCCTGTCCTTCATAGCAACTACTGCACCTCCATCTTAGGGGCAAATACTAATTTTGCCGATGAATCAGCATGCCGGATGGCTGATAATGTTTGGAATTAAAGGAAGTTTTTAAATTTGGAGGCTGCTTCATGGCATTAAGTTTCAAAGCAATCAGTGAGGTTCATGTGTTTATGATTTCTCAGCAGTGGGCAGCAGTTGTCAGCTCCATTAGAAAATTTTGTTCTCACTTACAAATAGTGAGCAAAAACACAAGTGCCAAGTGCTTAGGCAAAAAAATCTATCCCTGTAACATGTCGTGGAGACCCATAGGGTTGTGAGAGGTCGAGGCTCCCAAAATTTTCTAGACAATCAGCTTACAGATGGCAGTGAGGTTGTCAGCCTTACTCACTGGCTGTCCATTACTCCCCAGGAAGATTCCTGGTACTCATTTCTGTCAGAGGCTGTGTTAACCCCAAGACCATAGTGCAGCTGGAAGATTTAGGTCAATTTAAAAATACGATGATCTCATGGGGGGACTAACCTGGAACCTTCCTGCTTCTACCAGTGCTTCCAACAACTATGAGACCAGAGGGCAAGTTAGATGACAAGAAGACAGACTAGAATATGCACCTAGAAAATCACTGAATTGTCTACCTCACAAGAATGCAGAGTCATAATAAACTGCAAGAATGTTATATTTTAGCGTCCTGTTGCGTGTGTGAGTATAACACATGCAGTCACAGGAGCGAGACGCAACACAGAGCACAATACACGATAGTGAAAGAGTGCTCCAACAGAGGATGATAGACGTGACTCGCGTAATGAAACACGACGTAGGAAAGAAATATGCTGTACAGTTTTAGTATTTTAACACTTGACATTTGTCAGTATATATGATAAATATATATTTTAGTTATTTTAGTATGTAAAGACAAGGCATGCAATGAACTAGTTTGTCGTGGATTGGATCAGCACCTGAAGATGGCACATTTGTGCCGAAACATGTAGTGAGAGTGAGAAGAGGGGATAAATAAATGTATGCACTAGAAGACGGATAAAATAAATCATGGACTTAAACTGCAAGAAGCTGAAGCTTTTACCCTGTAAGACAAATGTAATATATGCCTTGCAGCAATGCAATCAAGATAGCAAGGTTCATTTTAGCACTTCACTGAACCCACATCTAATCCATAAAGTCCAGCTCTATCCACTGATAGTGAAGTGTCTGGGGTGCTGTAAGGCCAGAGATTGTTGGACCTGAGTTTCTTAACGAAAAAATTAATTGCAAAACAGGTAATTATCAATTCTTTCTAGAGTTAATACAAGACTCTATGGCTGGCTGCAGCAAGACTCAGCTACTGCCCAACATTGCATGCATGTCTATACATGCTCTGTCCAAAGTCTTGCCAGATATATCAGCAGTGGTATTTGGCCAGCACTTTCACCTGACTTTAATCTCTGTGATTTTTCCTTTTGTGGTTCTCTGAGGGACAAAGTTTGCAACAGTAAACCCCAGTCAGAAAAACTAAAAGAAAATATTCGTAGGTAAATTCCAAATATTCCTGCAGAACAGCTTTAAATGGTCAATCACAACCTCCTCTGCCGATGCAAGGAATGTCTACAACATTTTCAACACCTCCTGTGATCTGTGAATTGTAACTACAGTAGAACTTGGTTATAACGTCATCAAAGTGACCTAAAAATAGTGTCGTTATAAACGAATGTCGTTGTAACCGAAATGGGCACTTCCACAGTAGTCTTATGTTAGTCACGTAAAAATCTACCAAAAACCAAGTTAAAATGTTGCATTTTTTAGTGAAATACGTAGTTAAGTACAGACTAACGTAACATTAACGTGGAATTGCCCAAATGTGTAATATCAAAGACATATTACAGCGCTTTTCACTGACAATACACACCGCACTAATACTGTATATTAAAGGTAGGCCTACTCACCAAATTACAGTAGATTACATCAATTGTTGTGCCTTACTGTACCTAGATATGAGTACAGTAATCAGTTATCTTCATCTGTTTCCTGTTACTTGCCCAATACACACTTTCTAAATTACGTTCAATGTCCATATCTGAGAAATTCAGGAATGAAAATGACGTTACATACGAGGTTGATGCATTTGTGCATGTCGTACTAAGCAAGGTATAAAAACAGTTGCTTTATGAGGAATTAGTTCGTATCATTGAATATTTGACGCAATAGACAAGGTGTCGCAGAAACCGATGTTGCTATAACCAAGTTTTACTGTACTTCATTCCAAACGTTATCGGCAACAGCCATATTAATTTATTAACAAATTCGTATGCACCTCACAACTGGTGGTGCACCACTCACCATGAAGAGTATAGCTCTGAAACGATCAACGGGAGTGTGAACTTCTGTGTGTATGGATATGCAGAAACGTTCTATGATGATCATGAATAGAACTTCTTTTGCGCATTTAATTACATCCATTGCATATTTCATTTGACCACGGTGGTGTCCATATTTCAGAATGTGTTGCCAATGCCAATTCTTCATTATTGATTTTTATACGTCTTACACCTTCTCTGTATCTAATGCTTAGTCACTGTCCTTTCTGTCCAATTGAAAATAACACAGAGACAGAATGAACTGAAGACAAAAAAACAAACAAATGATAATCTTTATCATTTATAGATCCTGGGAAGCCTATGATACAATATCAAAGCACCTAAAATGGGTCATCTTTAGGTACCGTAAGTTTCTCACATACTATTACTGAACTGCAATGTTAATATTCCAAATTTTATAAATTGTTCATACATGGCAGTTCCTATTCAATTCACAAACCAGACAAAACTTAGACAAGACTTTGGTTAGAATTAACAATAATATACAATAAAATGAGAATAAAAATAAGAAAAAACTGTACATGTGATAAAGACTTATATATATAAAAATAGGTTAAACCTAATTTAATAATTAAGTGATCCGAAATCCACAATTTGACATTTAAAAAAATGATCTTTCAAACTGTCATAAGCGGTGAGTAACTTCATGTTCGTGACCGCAGTAGACCACGCATATGTTTTGTCAAATTTCTTCTACTGTTTGCTGCACTGACTTGCCATGTTAGTATCGTAATTTTTCCTACAGAATAGAACCCCCCTTTTTTCATGTTGTTGGGAGTCAATGGTTAATGTGTGTTGTTTATGTTACACACTTCATTGCGCTGCATGTTTCATACTACTTTGCAATCTGATATTCATAATAAAAAGATTTACGCAAGTCTTCAAGATCTTTTAAATTACATTCACTGTACTATTCTATTTCTCAAACAGATTCAACACATCTTTATTTAACTTCCTTTTTATAATCATAATACCAAGTATCCCACAATATATTTCGTCGGCAATAACCAATATAGCATAGTTTGTAATCACTGACCAATCCATAATAGCCATCAAAATATATTCAATCCAAATCATATACATAAAATTGTAACTAAGTGACCAAAGAATTTACTCACAGAAGATGGAGGAAGAGCACAGATAACACAGAGCACAAAACAAATGAAGTTGCACAATTAGGTTTATGAGCTGTCATCAGTTTCAGTGACTAAATCCTAATAATCACTAGCTTCTACTGCTGATTACCATCATAACTGTAAGGAGATTGTCATGTCATGTCATGTCATGTCTGTTTCCACACAAGACAGGGTCTTGTGCACATTCAGCAGTCAGAATTAAACAGATATTGATATGCACTGACTTCTGTATCAAGGGACTCAGTTCATTTCTTGTCAGTTGGAAAGGTTAGCAACGACAAACAACTCCAATATCTTGTAGCATGCAACAGACAGCAGAACTGTCTTCTTTACAACATTAAATACTGCAGAATGCTACAAATTACATATTGTTCCTTTAGTCTAAACCCATCTCTACTGCTCTAAGATTTACGCTACATGTCAACATGTATGTGCTGATGTTTCTTCAGATAACTCTGATCACCGAATGCCTTATTACATACATCACATATAAATGGCCACTCCCCAGTATGTATGCGATGATGTCTCTTCAGTGAACCCTGATCACGGAATGACTTGTTACATTCATCACATACAAATGGCCGCTCCCCCGTATGTATGCACTGATGTGTCTTCAGATGACTCTGATTACTGAATGTCTTATTACATACATTACATACAAATGGCCGCTCCCCTGTATGTATGCGGTGATGTCTCTTCAGTGAACCCTGATCACTGAATGACCCATTACATACATCACATACAAATGGCCGCTCCCCACTATGTATGCGCAGATGTCTCTTCAGTGAACGCTGAGCACTGAATGACTTATTACATACATCACATACAAATGGCCGCTCCCCTGTATGTATGTGTTGATGTGTCTTCAGTGCACCCTGAATCCTGAATGACTTATTACATACATTACATACAAATGGCCGCTCCCCACTATGTATGCGCAGATGTCTCTTCAGTGAACGCTGAGCACTGAATGACTTATTACATACATCACATACAAATGGCCGCTCCCCAGTATGTATGCGGTGGTGTCTATTCAGTGTACCCTGAATCCTGAATGACTTATTACATACATTACATACAAATGGCCGCTCCCCTGTATGTATGCTCTGATGTGTCTTCAGATGACTCTGAACACTGAATGCATAATTACATACATTACATACAAATGGCCGCTCCCCACTATGTATGCGCTGATGTGCTCTCAGACTTAGCTGTTGACTGACTGAATCACCACACTCATCGCGTGAATACTGTCGCTCCTCACCATGCACAGGCTGAAGTTCATTCAAAATAGTCTGCAAAATGAGAAGAAATAACAAAATTCTAGTAGAAAGAGAAATTAGTGTGAATCCTCAGTACAGTGAGATGTTAAATCGGTAGGCGTTAGAGGGGTGACAGGAGATGGGGGAAAGCGCGCACACTCCCTTGTGTGGTGCGTGCATGAGTCCATCACCATGTATGTTGGTTCCTGAGTCAATAAAAGTTATCCTGCACTGCCAAGACTAATAAATAAACAAAAACAAACTTCGTGGACCGTAGTCTGCAAGAAAATTATACCGACCGAGCGAGCAACGGCTGCTTTTCATTCAAGTTACTGCCAAATTTAGGGGATACAGGGTGTTGAGTGGTCAGTGCAGCGAATCCCAAAGGCCATTAATTTCAGTTTTCTAGACCAGAACTGTCTAACAAATTGCAAAATTAAATGAAATTATATATTTCCAAGGCTGGATAGGCATCCATTTAACAGTGGATGGGCTCCTGAAATAAAGTAACAACACTGACTTAAAAATGGCACTAAGACAGGCTTCATATGGCCCACTAAAATCCCCAAAACCATATGAGGGGCTAATGGATAGTTCCCAGAATAGGTAAAAAAAGAAATACTGGCTTAATTTACTCCATTTTGGCTACCACCTCCATCAAAAGAGTCTCCTTTGGAATGTATACATCAATTCCATCGTTTTTTCCATGCTTCAAAACCACCATGAAAGTCATTTTCCTTAATGCTGTCAAGTACCCACTTGTGATTCTCTTTGAACGACAGACACTGTTTCAAAACACTGTCCCTTCAATTCTATGTTAAATTTTGGAAACAAAGGGAAATCACAGAGGCTAACTCCAGTGAGCAGGGAGGATGGGGAACGATAATCATTTTGTTGTTAGTCAAAATATCCGTGGTTTCAGGGACGTGTTGGCAGGTGCACTGTCATGATGAAGGAGTCAGATGTGGTTGTGCCAAATTTCCAGTCTTTTTCATCGAAAAATTTCTCTCAAAATGTCACAGGAAAAGTCAGAGTTGACGATAGTGTTAGGAAGAACAAATTCACGGTGATCAATCCCCTTCACACAGAAAAAACAATGAGCATGATCTTTGTTGAACTCTGTACCTGCTGTGACTTCCTTGCTCTTGGTGACTGTGGGTTCTTCCATTGCAACAATTTCTGCTATGTTTCTGAATCTTAACGATAAATCAAACTTTCATCACCCATTATGATCCCAGAAATAAAGTTAAGTCCTTACTAGCCGCCTCTCATAGCTCAAGACACATATTTACGTGCTGCTGCTTTTGAACATGTGACCAGAGTCGGGGAACGAACTTTGTATCAACACAGCGCATGTACAAATATTCTCTTTAAGACAGGTGAACTTCATAACTATTCCCAGCAGTGTCTGGAAACTCATGGATTGTTCTGTGACAGTCTTCATGCACGATTTCTTGAACTCTTTCAACATTTTCTGTCATTTTGCTGGTGCTTGGCCACCCTGAACGTACATCATCTTCAACTGACACCTGACCACCCTTGAATTGTGAATGCCATTCAGAAACCGCTGTTTGGCTTAAAGACTGTTCTCTAGAAATAATGAAGTATTCCAAGGGTTTCGGTATTGAATTTACTGAGCTTCATGTGAAACTTCATGCACACACATTGCTCGATTTTGCCATCCATTACAGACAAAATGAAACACTAACTCAAAAAGGTATTTCTGTAAAAACAATGTCCGTTCACAGCGCAGTATCACATGGCAGACTGAGGCAACAGGCTTCCAGAGGTGTGACTTGGGCCTCCCATCTCATCTTTCACCAACGTACTTACAATAATAAGAGTCTGGGAACTTTCCAAAAGTCTCAAACAGAGAGGCAGCACAGCATCAGTTCAATAAATATGGCCACCCTGACACCATGAACAAATCCTTGAGAGTCATCTCCTACGATGCCATGTAATATTTCTTGACAATGATAACGTTTGGCTTTTGTCACAAAATGGCCCTGGATGCGTGACATCATCATGGGCACACCACACTGTGCAGAAGCAGGTGTGGGAATGCCATGCAACAGGTGCATATATATCAGGCAACTGTGCCTCATTTGAAGGCATGTAAGCATCATTTCCTGCTTCCTCAAGGAGCCGAATGACTGCCACTCCAAGAATACCACAGCTTAAATGACTGCAATTTTTTATGCTGTGTGTTGGTCCACATGTCTTGCAATGACAAGAGGAAAGGGTGAAGAAGTAAGCAAGAAGCATTACCACCCAGAGGATGTTCTGCTGGCAAACGACAAAGGAACACAGCTCTGTTGGTGGCTGCATGCAACTGTGGTGCAGTGGGTCATGGGTAGCTGTGGTTACTTGGAACTGTAACGGTGCCACTTTAAACAAATCCCCTTAAGGGGAGAAATCTCACCACAGAAAATAATGTAAACAAGAGTTAATAAGGACTGCATCCATTCCAAACTAATGATTATACTGTACTGAAATAACAATATTTTACATATATAAATTTAATATGCCAGTACCTTGAGATCGCATACAGAACAGTAACTTTACATTCTGAGTGTGAATGTGTCTGCATTTCATAAACATGCTTGGTTTCAGCTCACATTTTTGCTCATAAAATTTCTTTATAGCATCATAACACAATAGACAGTTCACAATCAACCTTGGCAGAACCATCACAGAAAGGATCATGGTTCCAAAATAATTCAATTCAATTCAATTCCCTTCTTTATTATTTATGTGCCGAGTCAACAGCCGCAAGGCCAATTACAGACAGAGCAATACTGTCAGGCAACCATTGCCGTGGTGACGTGGCGGGGAATGCCGCGGTTACTGCACAGCAGGAAACAACTCTGGATAGTGTTGCCCAGCAATACCTGTAAACAGGCAACATGGCAACAGGGAAAGCAAGGCGCTTTCCGTTGTCTGGCTGAGGGTTTATAAGAGAACTGCACTGCCTAAGGAGTCAGCTGAACTGGAACAGTCGCCGAGTTCAGTTGTAGCGAGCGAATCGTGAATGTGAAGGATACCGATAGTGTGAGAAGTTATGGGAGTTTGTAATACAGTGACATTGGTATAGCTCCCATGTTATAAGTACGTGAAGACTACTGAGGACAGAATGAATTTATTAGTGTGTAGGGTTTGTAAATTGTGTAAACCCGTAACAGTGTCATAATTAGTTGTAGCTATGATTTGTAGGTTGTTAAATAAACAAATTAACAATCTGAACGATGTCTTCAGTAGCAAAACACGTTACAATATTTTACATACATAAATTTTATATACTATCAGTACATTCAGTTTGCAAATGTTATTGCCTTCCAAAGTATACAGAACAATAACTTTACAATCTGTGTGTGTGGACATGCACTGAAACCTGGAAGGTCTTACCTGAATAAACCATTCATAAACTTGTTTGGTTCCAGCTAGCATTTTTGCTTGTTAAATTTCTTTATAGCATGATAACACAACTTCCATTTCACATCCAGCCTTAGCAGAATCATGAAAGAAAGGAACATGGTTCCAAAATAATAATAATTATTATTATTATTTAAGCCCTACTTAGTTGAGAGTCTACTGAGTTCTTTGCTTATGCATTGTGACATGTAGATCCATTGCTAGGTAACAGACCAATAAACATGCATTCTTGACAACAGACAGTGTTTTCCATGTGGTTCGCATATATCATTGCTAGGCAACAGCTCGGTAAACATGTTTCTGCAGAAGTGTACCAGGAAACAACAGGACGTTCACTTCTATGCAACAGAACTGTAAACAGCCTACAAATTGTTGAGAGGTGTTTTCTGTTGGGTCGACCTTGAGGCTAAATAATGCATAATTAAAAGTGAGTAGTCAGTCAGGAGAATGAGAACAAGAATGGAGCAAGTCTTAGGCAGTCATTTATTGTGAGCTGTTTAAATGATTGTGATTAAGAGAGATTGTACAAGAAGGTGACAATAAATCCAATCATCAAATCCAAAACCTGTTATTATCAGTCTCAGAGCCATAAACATCTGACAACTGCTGTCAGAAGTGGTCAGACTGGAAACTGCACTGAATTGAAGATCGAATTTTGTAGTTACAGTGCCATTCTAAGAAAATAGTGAAAATTATGGAACTGATGTTGGGAAAGATGGATTCTTTTCAAGCCAAAATGGAAGTTCGCCAAGAAAGGATGGAAGCCAAGATAGAGGACATACAGGTGAGGCCATACCAAGGAAACTGGAAACCAAAAGCAACCGCACTGCCATTTCCTCAATTTTCGCTGCTCCATTCAGTAACATGTTCAACTCAGGCTGATAACAGTTCTTGGAAATTGGGTTGTGTTGTGGTTGCCAGTCTCCCTGGTGTGCCCTCACCCTAAAAACCAACCAAGCCAAGATGATCACCAACCAGGAACAGATGATGACCAATATGGATGCCCACCATGCCAGGACAGAAGCTAACCAAAAGATGATGGCCAAGTTAGATGCCCATCTTGAAAGAATGACAGACACTACGGATTTGGAGGCAAATCCAGAGGAAATACAGTCTGAAGCGGAGCATCAGGAGGTCCCTAACAAAGTAGCGGCACTGAAATTTTCTGGAGCACAAAAGGAATGGCACAGGGGCTACAATCTAGATGCAGAATGCCACTGTCAGCTGGAGGAAAGGACCCAGAGAAATTGTGGATCCTGGAATAAGTTGACAGCTGCCAGAAAGATGGCCCCTCTGTACAGGAGTGAGTACGGGAGTACGGGAGCAAGGTATAAGTCGTCACGATCAGACGAGGGCCAAGGCTGGACAAAGAACTTTGAAAAGACCGACATTTGGAAAGAGGTGTCAGCTGAAATTGGAACACAAAATGGGATGGAACAGAGGCCTGAGACAGGAGCTATGAAGCAAGAAGGAATTCAACATCACCCTCAAGGAGACTGTAGGACTGGAGTTTGTGAAACAAGCAGCCAATCTTCTGCCGGGTTATGAAAAATCAGGAATTCGACATTTTGGAAAGGTCGGCCGCTTCCAAAATAGAAGAG